ATCGGGAGCATATGAGCCTCGGATAAATTGAGTGGGACTGCATCGGGAGCATATAATCATCGGCCTTTTGTCACTAGCTGAATCTTGAGTGGGACCGCAAGGTGTGTAAACTTCAGCCTCCGGGCGGTGAAGCCATCCTTGCTCATGAGCAGTCGTTGGCGGTGGCCAGAGGGAGGGGGCACATGTCTGTGCTGCAGAATCGAGAGCCTGACGTGTACACTTTTTGAGGTATTGTTTGATGCCACCCACAGCCATGAACATCGACCTCATGTCAAAGAAGGTCCACCAGAGGCATATCACCAGCTCGAACTACACTACTAGAATTCTGATGTACGTCGGGTGCCACGGACACTCGGGTGCCACGGACACTTGGCAAAGGGCCGAAAACCACTGGCAAAGCCTTTGCCGAGTGCCCCCCTCGGCCAAAACCACCCGGCGTACACCTCTCCGGCAAACAGGAATTTGCCGAGAGCCAGAACACGGGCACTCGACAAAGTCTTTGCCGAGAGCTAAACATCACGTCTCGGCAAAATAAAGCAGCTAACGGATAACAGTCGGGGACGGATGTTGCCATGTTGGCAAACTTTGCCGAGTGGGTCTCTCGGCAAAGAGAGCCAGTAGGAGGCTGACACGTGTCATCACCTGACATGTGAGACCGTAAGAACAGGCCGAGGGCCAACTTTGCCGAGAGGGGCTCTCGACAAACAGACCGAATAGGAGGCTGACACGTGTCATCTCCTGACATGTGGGACCACGAGAACAGGCCGAGGGCCAACTTTGCCGAGAGTGGCTCTCGGCAAAGATAACCAGTAGGAGGCTGACATGTGTCATCTCCTGACATGTGGGACCACGAGAATAGGCCGAGGACCACGAGAACAGGCGTTCGTTGTAGTGGCATGCTATTAGTATTATCAGTAGCGATGGACAGAGGCGCGCTACTACTAGATATAGGTAGCAGTAGCACTGGGTAAGAACCACGCTACTGCTAAAGTTTAGCTATAGCGCTGTAGCAGTAGCGTGGGCACCTGCGCTACTACTACCTATAAAACCCACGCTACTAGCAGCCTTTTTTCCTAGTAGTGATGGGCCACACGCATGTAGGGGTCCCCCCCCCTTCGGGCGGTCTCTAGATCGAGCACCCATCTGGTGGCCCCGACGGTCTAAGGCGTTGATCGGCACCGAGAGGGTGTGGTCTACTAGGATACTACATTCGACTTGTGTGTGACAATATGTGGACTATCCCTAATTTTGCATATATATATATATATAGGGAAAATTCATCCTACCACCCGGTGGTAGTTACCCCACATGTCTCATATACTACCATGTGGTACTATATATACTATTTTATTATTTTAAATACGTTCATATACTATATCTATATATGGACTAGATCAAATTATGCCTATATATGATCGAATTATGCCTATATATGTGTGGACTACTCCAAATTGCACTGTAGTTGTTTTCATCTGCAGGGATCAGAAAAGAAATAGCTTAACAGCAGAATGGATGGGAAAGATTTTCGAGAGCAACACTCGAAAAACGATATACTACCGAGAGCACCTCTCGGAAAATTGGTCGTCTGGGAGACACTACTGTTGTGCCATGTGGGCCACACCTTTTCCAAGAGCTGCTCTCAGAAAAGAAGGCGAGCATTGCCGAGACCAGCTCTCGGCAAAGATATATAAACTGTCAGCTGCCATGTGAGCCACGCTGTCCTACTAGTCAGGAGAATTGCCGAGAGCAGCTCTCGGCAAAGATATCATCATTTTTTTTCAAAAATATTTAGCAAATTATTTCAAACTTTTACTGATACTAGTAGAATGCCCGTGCGTTGCTACGGGCAAAATATAGGAACATGAATCAAACTGGTGACTAAGTGACATGAGTAAGTTCTTCAAATAATATATATATATCGCCTTATATCAATTTCTTGAGCGGATACTATGAGAGCAACTATGATCTTGATCTTGCTCCTTCCGTCCCTGCAACCCATCCTACGACACTGGTCGAGACCGGTGCCGATGTTGTGCGCTACCCTACCCAAGCCGTCTTCTATGTCGGTTCACCATTGCCCCGACACTGGTCTCGAGCTACCTTCTCTGTTGGTCCACTGTTGACCCTGATCCACCCTCCAATATTGGTCGCGACCGGTGCCAATGACGCGTGTCATCCTGCCCGAGCTAACTTCTCCGAAGGCCCACCATTGCCCTTAACCATCCCTCTATTCCCACAACCTCTTCTAAAATTATGTGCTCGTTGTCGGCTTCTTCCTCTTTTCGTCCCCTCTTCTAAAAGTATGTGCACATTGTTGGTTTCTTCCTCCTTTCGTGCCCATGACCCATCTTTTGGCACCGGATGCGTCTGGTGTCGATGTCCTGTGCCGCCCTGTCCACGCCGCCTTCTTCGACGGTCCATCGTGGTCCCCCACCATACCTCTAACACATAGTTTGGGGAGGATGTAGAGGACATGGTTGTATACACAAATGGAAGCCTGAAGCAGACGTGTCCGGTGACTTCCATGACGCTTGGGCATCGAAATTAGCCTATCATGGTTGTAGATGATCTAAGATACTGAAGTACTTCACGTCAAGATGTAGTACGCAAGTTCACAAACCCTCATGCCTATGGTTTTATGTGAAGATGCCTAGCTCACTCCCGCCAGTACATTTCAAAATTCAAAAAGTCAAACCAGACTCAACCTCTGCCAAGACAATGCGACCGAGGGCATGTACCCAGGTATAAGTGCAATCATATCTACCTTTGCCACCTTTTCTGATCATGGTCGCTACTCAGAACAGATGGATGTTTAGTCCAGCGCGTTGACAGGTAACCACTACTGAAGTTATCAACTCGATGAGAGTTCATCCAAATCCGGACACATTTTACCACCTCATCCATCAGTAATTTCAGAGACCTGGCACCTTGCCCAAAGCTAACTGCAAATTTTTCCAAACTGATAAAACAATTTTCGCGAGAATCTGTGGCAGCATCACACGTCAGAATTGAATAAAATTTCAGGTTGTATTCTTTTCCATCAAAGTACAGAACTCGAAGCACACAGATAGTAAACTACACAACGCAACTGGTATGGAGCAATTATATGGACCAAGTACTGGCAGTATGGATTGATGTCTAGCCATCATCTGATAACCTAGAGTTTTCATCAGACAATTAGTACATCAGTTGACTCCATTGACACCACTCGGAATTAGTACATGAGTTGACTCCATTGGCACAATTAGTCCGATATTGAAAGAGCTTTGTTTGACTGACTCTTCTATATTATACGATGCTCTATGGCAACAGATAAATGAGAGCCAAAAGAGTATTATTAAAATTGCATCTAGATGCATCCTCTTTTATCCATTTTGATGACAAGTATTTCCGGACGGAGGGAGTATATACCAAGGGTCATTCTTGAGAAAATTTGTTGCTCATGCCTCATGACATTTAGAAGAAAATTTTGGATAATATGTAGGTGCTAGCACTTTGCATGAGGTACAAACCTTACAGGTTCACTCAAGCAAATAACACAAATCATATAATCGCACAACAATGGTTCACAGACTTCCAGAAAAATTGAGAGAGAGAGAAGCAGCAACAGGTTGGAGTTCAGAGAACTGCAGCAACGGGGTTGAGAATTGCTTCAGAAGAAGTGCAGCAGCAGTGCTAGGAGAGATGGGACAGCCGCAGGCAGGAAGGAGCAGAGAGGAGAGGCAGCAGCGCCAAGGCAAGATTACTACAGAACCTACGACTAAGTCAAACTATATATTTTTTATGGGCATACTCGCGACTTGAATCCTTCATTTTTCAAATTTGAGCATTGGCGCATATCCACTGTATGGATTAGTCATATTATTAGGCTGGGTCAGTATATTAGTAAATTTGTCACATATACACAGTTTGTCGAACCAATTCCAATAATAATCAATAGACGCATATCTCTGAAAAAAAGGAACACACATGCATACAGTGGAAGTGTCTCGAGGGCCAAACTATTCTGGAAACTATCATAGCAGAAATCATATTTTTCTAAATCTAGACTAACAGGGGATGTACGCACACGTGGGCTGATCACCTGCACAATCAAATCTTACTACTGGACATTGGTATCGTCTGATGCTTCCCATCGAACATCAGCCAATTTGTGATTTACCATTGCCCTATGGA